ATCTGTCATCTGAATGTATATTTGCTTTTATACTCTGCTTTTCTGTGTATTCATAAATCTAGCTCTCTAAAATGTATTTGAAGAATATCATTTAAATAAATGATAAAACTTGAAGCAATGTTTATCAACATAATGCTTAACTGAATTTGTTCTTTCCTGTATTTGTATAATTAGTAAATTACACTCTTTTCTCCTTTTCTGTTAGTATAAGATCTCCCTGCTTTCAAATGGTTATGTGGTGTATAAATCAGATGATTCTTGCCAATAATCAAGTAAGAAAATATATCTCTAGCATTTCTTGCCTCCCTGACATATTCTTTATATTTTTTCTCCCTGTGGAATGCTCTGCTGCCTTTAATTTTAAGATATATAATTTTGTGCTGCACGAAAAACAAAACAATTCTCAATCACTGCTGGTCATTAGCCACTTATATCTTAAAATGAATTTCAGTCAACGTGACTCCTCTTCCAAGGGTGTCTGCCTATAAAATTTATGATGGAATAAAAAACTTTGTTTTTAATTGAAAGAACCATATGTGGATTTTTTTGTTTTCTTCTAGAGGAAGTAATCCTCCTCTCTGGTACTTGCTACCTTGATCCACAGTGAGGTTATTAACCAGGGTCAAGCTAGCCCTGCATATGGGTGTCTTTTATGTACACGCATAGGAATGGCGACATGATGAGTAGAGAGATGGCCAGTGTGTGATGGTCTCAAACAGGTAGATAATGTGGGGTGAGCTAGGGGAGGGCATTATGGGCAACTAGGCACATACACCTCTGAGAAGCAAGAGAGGTCTCTGGGAAGTAATATAAGTAAATAAACTTCCTCGCAGAACAAATGTTGGCAAGATGGGCCCTAAGTGCAAGACTATAGCACAGACAAGGCTTTTCCCCTATGAACTACAGCATCACATTTTTACCCCAACACATGGTAATCTACTGCATCAAAAATCAGAGAGAAGCTGCCAAACAACTATGAAATCATAAATATTTTAAATAATATTTTGGTTTTGAAACAACTTTTTTATAGGAAATGCATTGTATTTATACTTCTATTTATATGCATGTATGCATTGGGCTTCCCTGGTAGCTCAGACAGTAAAGAATCTGCCTGCAGTACAGGAGACCCAGGTTCAATCCCTGGGTCAGGAAGATCCCCTGCAGAAAGGATTGGCTACCCACTCCAGTCTTCCTGCCTGGGGAAGCCCATGAACAGAGGAGCCTGGTGGGCCACAGTCCACAGGGTTACCAAGAGTCAGGCATGACTGAGTGACTAACACTATCTACTGTAAATATAGATGCATACATTCTATAAACTATAAAGAAATCTGTTTAAAAGAAGATGAAAACATCACTCAAATCCTATCTTCCAGGTTAAAAATGAAAGCTAACATTTTAGAAGTTTAATTTCAGATACCTCACTTTACATATATGACTAGATAGACACCTCTAAACTAATTCAAAGTGGCATCCTGTACTATTTTAAAGCACAAATATTTTAATATAACTTTACTCAAATGAGAGCAACAATAAAAATGTTGATGTTTCTTCATAAAGTGAATTAATTCTTAAAAAAACAAAAACAAAACAAAAGTTAAAAGTTATATCAACACACTTTAAGTTATATCACACTTAAAAGTTATATCATCCAGTGGCCGCCTGCTCTGAAAGTTTGTGGAGAAAAAGCATATATCGAATCCCATAGTTTGGTATTTAATATTTTAGATTCTACATCTGGAACATTGACACTCTTTCTACAACTGTAATTCCTAGCTGTCTTGTTGTTCAGTTGCTAAGTTGAGACTGACTCTCTGCGACCCCACAGACTGCAGCACACCAGGCTTCCCTGTCCTTCACTATCCCCTGGAGTTTGCTCAGATTCATGTCCATTGAGTCGGCGATGCTCTCTAACCCTTTCATCCTCTGCGGCCCCCTCTCCTCTTGCCTTCAATCTTTCTTAGCATCAGGTCTTTTCCAGTGAGTTGGCTGTTCACATCAGTACCAAAGTATTGGAGCTTCAACCTAAGCATCAGCCCTTCCAAAGAACATTAAGAGTTGATTTCCTTTAGAGTTGACTGGTTTGATCTCTGCTGTTCAAGGGACTCTCAAGAGTCTTCTCCAGCACCAATCTAGTCACGATCTTATATTTAAATGATTCACTGCTCAGTCTATCATTGGACCGTGGTTTCTTTATTCTTTTTTTTCATTCATCTCACTGTTGGTTGGGTTGTTTCATATGTATGCCCAAAGAAGTTGCACTCTTGACATAATTTGACTTGCTCAAATTCACTAGGTATAACGTTTCATCAGTATTCTTTTCCCACAGAACTTCCTAATAAAAAATTTTGAGATTCTGCTTCCTTTCATTAAAGTTGCTTTTGATCTTTCAACATCATGATACTTCTTTTAGGGAATATCACATCCTCTTGACATCAGGAGGTACATGTATTATTTCTTTTCCCTTTTCTATGTTGTCCCACATTTATTAGTACTGGACTGGTCTGCATCATAATTATGAATTTGGATATGGCAAGTTCTCTGTTTCTTGTTTTTTCTGTCTGTATTTTTTTTTGGGGGGGTTGGTTTAGCTTTGGTTAATTTAATGGAAAAGGAATATATTAAATTTTTCATTATTTGACATATTGAAAGAAAATTTTTGAAAACTTGTTTAGTAGCTCAGTTGTGTCTGACTCTTTGTGACCCCATGGACTGTGGCCTGCCAGGCTCCTCTGTCCATGGAATTCTCCAGGCAAGAATACTGGAGTGGGTTGTCATTTTCTGCTCCAGGGGATCTTCCTGACCCAGAGATGGAACCCACATCTCCTGCCCTAGCAGGCGAGTTCTTTATCACTAGCGCCACCTGCGAAGCCCTAATCACACAATAAAAAGAATAACTACACAGATACAGAGAACTCGTTGATGGTTCCCAGAGGCAGGGTGTTGAGAGTTAAGTGAAATGAGAGAAGGGAGTCAAAAGGCACGAATTTCCAGTTATAAAATAAGTCTTGAGGATANAATCACACAATAAAAAGAATAACTACACAGATACAGAGAACTTGTTTATGGTTCCCAGAGGCAGGGTGTTGAGAGTTAAGTGAAATGAGAGAAGGGAGTCAAAAGGCACGAATTTCCAGTTATAAAATAAGTCTTGAGGATATAATATGCAGTATGCTGGCTATAGTTAACAATAATGTCCTACATATGTGAAAGCTACTAAGAAACTAGATCTTAAAGTCCTCACTGCAAGAAAAAAACTAGATCTTAAAGTCCTCACTGCAAGAAAAAATGTTTGTAACTGTGTATAGTGATGGATGTTAACTAGACTTATTGTGGTGATCATTTTGCAATACATACAAATGCATACATGAAATCATTATGCTGTACATTTGAAGCTAATATAATGTTACGTCAATTATACCACAATTTAAAGTAACAGCACATTGGAAAAAATAGCTGATGAATACTACTTTTAAATCAAAGCTGTACATATATATATATATATATTTGAAATTTATAGTCCTCTATCTTTGCCTGTGTATTCTCTTTCACCAATTTTTTTTTCTGATTATGATATCTTTATACTTCCAGGAATTTCTGTATATATATTATTCTACTTTTTCCTTATGTATTTTTTTCTCCCTTTTGTTCTTTCTGATTCTGATATTTTTTTCTCTCTGTTCTGATATCCCTTCTTTCTTCCCATCTTCTTTTTTCCTCCCTCTTTGGGTTTTCTCCTGTTTTCTTTTTTCAGCCTTTGTTCATGCTTTTTCTCTCCCTGTTTTCCTTCCTTTCCTTCCTTCTTTAACTTTTCACATTTTCCCCCCTGAATTTATGATTTAAACTTAGTATCTCCTGTCTTACTGAATAAAAATTATGGTCCCTGTCAGTTAATACATATTTATCTAAGAAAATACTGTATCTTTCCAAGTTGTCATTCATTGATATTTATACCAGGATTTCTTTGAAGCAAAAGAGTTTTAAGTTTCTGTTCTTAATTATTTTCTTTTATCCTCTATTAGCTGCTGTCCACTTTGAAATCATCAATTACTAATTATAATGGTACTATGACTTTACAGTCTAAAAGTCAAATTTTACCTGCAAATACACAAAATTTTTCACATGACTTTATTTTTTTTTCCATTTATTTTTATTAGTTGGAGGCTAATTACTTTACATCATTGTTCACATGACTTTAATAACAAAGCTAAATTCTGGGCACTAGAGGAGAAACTGCAATGAGTCATAATTTTTCATCCTGCCTTTTCAATAGAAACTAAATGTGTACATTAATAAAAGGAGAAAAAGCAGTTAATACAAACTATTCTTCCTCGTGCATGGTACATATCTTTGGAACCTATTCTTTTTAACATCTTTTTACATGATTTTCTGATTAACAAATATTTCCTTAACTCAGAATTTTTATGTCATTTTGAACTCATTATCATATGAACTCCAAAAATTCTTCCTCTTTAATTTACCATCTCTATTTGCAGCTTAAATTTTTTTTCTATATCACTCCACAATAGTTGTTGCTGTTTGTAGCTCAGTCGTGTCTGACTCTTCGTGACCCCATGGACTAAGCCCACCAGGCTCCTCTGTCCATGGGATTTCCCAGGCAAGAATACTGGAGTGATTTGCCACCTCCTTCTCCACAGAATCTTTCTGACAAAGGGATCGAACCCACATCTCCTGCATTGGCGGGCAGATTCTTGACAATTAACGCCACCTGGGAAGCCTTCCATAGTGGCTACAAAAAATTCTTCCATTTTAATACATCATCTGTTATTTCCAGCCCAATTTTATCAATATCATTCCAAAATAGTGGCTACAAAACAGGCTTACAGGAAGTGTGTCTATGACTGTTAACAGAAGTGGGAAGAATGATTTTGGTTGTCAGTCACTAGCTGCTGTACAATAAAATATACTTTAAAAATGCTGTGTAAATATAATATGTTCTTACATAACACATTTGTTGACAAATGAATTGAAAGTTGCCTTACCCCCTCGCTTGTTGATCTTGGCATAGCCAGGTGAATAGCTCCCAGACATAGAGGACGAGCTACTGAAAGCTGCATGGTGTAGTCCAGACACAAGTGGCTCATCACATTTTTCTGAAAAGAAAAGAAAGCCAGCTTTAAGAAAGACTGAATAATCACTGACATGTTTTTGTTAAAATCACTATTGAATACAGTGAAAATTTTAAGGTACATGATACATCTAGCAAACAATCATAATTTATATAACTTAACACTGATGATTCTAATGAACCCTAGCACAATTTCAACAGCCTTCTGATTTTCAAGTTATAGCTATGATAAAGTGCATTATTCCAAAGGACCTCAATGCAGGCCTGCTATCTCAGAATCATGAATGAAGTTGTGGCTGTTTGTTTAACAAGATTTTGGATTTGGGGTCTCCTCAAAATCTTCAACTATTTATTCATTACAAGGATTCAGGATTAGAAATATGAGCTTGGAGGAGAGAAGACCAGGAGGAATAATATCCAAACTAAAAAATTAGGAAGGAGATATCAGTAAGAAAGAACACAAGATAACCACCAACACAAAAGCACTGCTGTCTAAAATTTTAGTCAGTTCTCATTACACTTGAGCAATCAGCTGCACTGGAGTTCTAATTTTTACTTGGCTTCTGTGCTGACATGAACTATTTTCCCCCCTCCTTCTTTACTACTGCTGACTCTCCCATTCCACTTTGATGGGTGGTTCTCACCTTCCTAGTGTCTATACACGTTAAAGTGCCCAGGACTCAACTCTTGGAGCTCTTCTTTGCATCCTCTTGGTCTCTGGGAGACTGCATCAGGTGCTATGTCTTATCATATTGGAATACCCCAAATCTACCATCTCACTTTGCTGATCCCCTGTTCCAGGCAGCCACTGGCCATCACTTATGTGACTGCAGTCTTCCTTCCTCCTCCTTTGCCAGAGTCCTCCTGTACACAGCAGCCAAAAGGGCAGTTTAAAAAATACACAGGTGGGCAAGGTAGTTCCTGCACTCAAAATATCCTCTGGCTCCTGCCCTCAGTCACTTGGAATGAAGTCCAAGGTCCCCCAGTGACCCACAGCAGCCTCCACACTGATCGCATCCTCCAGCATCCTTGTCCATTACTGTCCAGCCACCCTTTCCTTCTGACTGCAACTACAGACCTGCTCCTGCCATGACCTTTGCAGTTACTCTTCCAGTGACCTCAAGGCTCATCCCTCCAGGCTCCGTTTAATGTCATCTCTCACAAGGCAGACAAGCTTCCCCAGTCTCCCCACTGCCCTCGCTCTCTGTACCACGCCTCGCTCTATTTTCCTTCAGAGCATTTACAGCCAGCTGATGTGTTGTGTTTTCATGCACTCAATTGTTTGGTTGCTTTTCTCTCCCATGAGACTGGAAGCTTTGGAAATAAAGGTTTTGAGAGTTTGCTTAATGCTTCCTTTCCAATGATCTGAATAGCACCTGGCACTTGGCACATACTCTAAGGACATTTGTAGAAGGGAGGGAGGAAGCAAGGGCGGGAGGGAGAGAGAAAGGGAGACGGAAGGAAGGGAGGAAGGAAAAACCAGGACAACTAAACGTGACAGACTCAAAGAGTCTTGACGCACGATGCTACGTTACAACATGACACAGCACCTAAGTTTTAGAGATGGCCTAAATCCCCAACAAGTGTTTACACATGCTCAGTATTCCATTTAATATGACACAGAACTACACTGTATATTCGGAATGACTTCTCCCTCAGATATTCACAAACAGGAAGAAAAAAGAAAAAGCTAGCAATGGAAGGAATGAACTAGTTTTCTCAAAAAGTCACTCAAGTGGAGTGAAGTCCCCAGTGATCCTGGGGAAATGAATTATTTTTCATTATCTCACCACTCCAGTGTGTACAAAATGGAAGTTAAGGGGAACACATCCATCCTTGTAAAACACAGATTGCTTCCTTTTCTCAGTTATGCTGAGAGTGCCTCTGAGCAATGTGGCACGTATGTGTGAATGTATTCCCCAGAAAGTTAAATGTAAATGACTGAAAGCAGGACATTAACATTTATTTTAGAAGTATCAGTTTACGAAGTGAGAATCCACAGTGAAGGGTTTCATATTAATTGTTTAAAAATTTACTATTATTTTAGCTGCCGTTGATAACACATATAAAACCCTGATTTTCTAACTTCTGTCAGTCTAACTTTGTACAACTTTTGATGTAAGTTCTGCACTGAACTTTAACGAGAAACTATTACTTCAGAATTTTCCATTATATTAAAAATGTGCTAATGTTTATTCATTTTTATTTTATTCATTCAAATAAAACAAAAAATTATGACATATAGACACTATTCTATACAAAATACACAACCAATAACCAACAAGAACCTACTTTACAGCACAGAGAACTATATTTAATCTTTTGTAAAAATCTAGAAGGGCAAAGAATCTGAAAAAGATTCCAAAACACTTTGCTGTGACCTGAAATCAACTGCACTTTAAAAAAAAATAAAATACATTCTAAAAAATTTATAGAAGAACCTATGCTGTGTCAGACACAGGAAATGCAGTAGATGAAACCAACAATGTTCCTGTCCTCACGTAATTTATGTTTCAGTAGAAAGTAAAAACTAGCCAAAACAAAAACAAGCAGGTAAAAATGTGAATTCATAGGATGGGATGGTGATAAAAACTACCGAGACACGCTGAATATGAATGAGGGGCTAGGAGCTGGGGGTAGGGTGGAGGTTCAGAGAGTTGCAGGCTTTGGGTGCCTAGCCAAGAAAAGTCTCTTTGATTGGGTGATGTCTGAGTAGTGACCAAAGAGAAGAGGACATATGCTATGGCAGAGCTCAACAGGACCATGCCAGGAGAAACTTTTTTCTGTCCAAATCTGCTCAGTAGGACTAACCTGATAACCCCTGAAGAAGGAAATGGCCACCCACACCAGTATTCTTGCCTGGGAAATGCTATGGGCAGAGGAGCCTGGCTATATTCCACGGGGCGGCAAAGTCACAACTAAACAACAATACTTGATAATAAGGAATAACACATTCTCCCAAAGTCAGTATTCAATGAATATATAGCTCCATGTTACACATGGTAAATAATTAAAATGAAATTGATAATTAACAGATCCATTTAACTTAAATTTAAAACTTAAATACAGCAGTCTATAAAATCTGAGGATAGTTTATCCTTATTATTTGTTTTTTTTAATTTGATTTACATAACAAATTAGTCTTTATACCAAATTAAATTTTTTTCGCTAATTTTTAAAGACTCATATAAATCAGAATAACAAAATTCAAGTAAAACTGAGATCAAGAAAGGTAAGAGCATATAAAAGATTATTTATTTTTTTAAAAGTACCATAGAATTATTATCATAATTTAAGGATCAGATATCTCACAATCCTCTAAGTTGAGACAAAATCTATAACTGCATAATCAAGCAAGAAAAATGTCACATGAATTATATGTTCTCCTGAAAGACGGTAGTCACAAATATTTTTTATGATCTTATCCCTTGTTTTGCACTGTTCTAATCACTTTGGGCAATAAAATATCTATCTATGTATCTATTTCCCATTCTCTCATGGGTGGTAACAATATATGGACCCACATAAAGTAATTAAATATGAAACAAGAAAATAATACCAGTCTGTAATTCAATGCTGACTAGAACATAATCAAATCTTGAAAGTAACAAGTAAATTAAAAATACAGGACTGTGGTTTAGGTGACCTTGTCACCCCTGGCTTTCTCCTAAGTGTGTGACCTTAGGAGGTTAACCCCCTTTCTACAGATGAAAGTGTGAAAGTGTTAAGTCACTCAGTTGTGTCCAACTCTTTGCGACTCCATGGACCATAGCCTGCCAGGTTCCTGTCTCCATGGGGTTCTCCAGGCAAGAACACTGGAGTGGGCTGACGTTCCTTTCTCCAGAGGATCTTCCCAACCCAGGGATCGAACCCGAGTCTCCCGCATTGCAGGCAGATTCTTTACTATCTGAGCCACCCTGACTCACATATAATATGAAGAAATTAGCTAAATTTCTCTCAAACTCTAATGCCCTCAAACACTGTCAAGGACAAGAGTCCACAACCATGTCCCCCAGACCAAATCTGGCCCACTGCTCGCTTTTGTAAGTCAAGTTGTGCTGGAGCACACCCCCATTCACTCATTTATGTCTGTATTCACATCTCAGCAGAATGTCACAAAAAGAGGCCACATAGCTTCTGAAGCTAAAGGATTTACTATCTGACCTTTTACAGAGAAAGTTTTCCAACCCCTGGTTCAATATGATAAATATTCCATGTATCCACAAAGAAGAATGATTAATAATCACTACGGTAACAGGTAACATACAAATGATGAATAAGACCTGAAGAATTGAGAGGATATAGATGAAGAGGGTTAAGAACAGCATAGATAGAGGAAAAGTTTTAAGGCTACAATGAGGATGAAATTTCCCCGTGATGGCTGTAGCTACACTCCACGTGTGCCCATATTGCCAGACTGACTATTAGGATGAATGATCCATTTTTATCTGCAACTGTAATGATAGTTATTACACCTTCCATCTTCCAAAGAGTCTGATTGCTTGTTGTTCTAGAGCATGTGTCTCCATACTCTGCAGACATTAAACATTAGAAAATCAAACAGATCCCTGGAGAAAGTTATGATTTTTATCGTAGTGGTAACAGTAGTAGAGAGAGAGGGAGAATGCTAACATTTGAAATAATTTAGCATTGTATTTTCCCATACTGGGATGTCTTCCAAAACTACGGCCACATAGTTATGGCAAATATTTGGTCTCCAGTGTATTTCCCTTCCAGGGAATCCTGGATAAAAACTAGAAGAGCAGATGGGCCTTGAGTTTTATTTTCACACAATTTCAGTCAATCAGGAAGGCAGACTAGCTGCAAGAATTCTGTATGAATTCAGGCTGGAGCAGAGGAAGTGATTGGCAAAGTGAGACGAAATGGCTGTGGCCCTTCACCTCCGAGAGCATGGCTGAGAGAGATCTTTCTTGGCAAGGGGGCTGGACAGCAGTTCGCGAGGTCAGAGGACTTCGGACCATATGTCACTGACATCAGAGAAGCATTCAAATGTTATCTCTGATTAAGAAATAATGTTGGAAAACATTCACCACATCTTTTAAAATCATAGCACTTACAATATATGTTTTATATCACACATTTGGAAATGCAAGTAAATACCCAGAAAATAAGAATGACAAAGAACTCCAGAACCAAACAGTCCTACCAGGATGGAAATTCTGTTTTTTTTGTTTTGTTTTGTTTTGTTTTTTAATTGGAGTTGCCTTACAATGTTGATTAGATTCTACTGTACAGAAAAGTGAATCGGTTACATGTATATCCCCTCTTTTTTTGAATTTCCTTCCTGTTCAGGTTACCACAGAGCATTGTATAGTGTTCCCTGTGCTATACAATAGGTTCTCATTAGTTATCTGTTTCATACATCATATCAGTATCATACGTCATATCATAGCAATGCATCGTATCCATCCCTACATCTCAATCCATCCCATGCCTTCGTTTCCCCTTGGTATTCATATATTTAAATTCTAGCAACATTTGATTCACATTCAGAAAAAAAAAAAAGAGGAAACACTGTAAAAGGCATATTCTCAGGGGGATACATCACACAATGTTCTCTACTTTGCATGCATTCAACTCCTGACTCTGAACCCAGAGCTGCATGACCACCAGCCTCAGGTTTCATGGCTCCATGGTCAGGGCCAAGTTGAGAGGCCATACCTCGCCCTAAAGCCTTCTATTTCCAGCCAGTAGCCTCCTGCGTGGCTCCTTATGGCCAAAACTGTCTCGAACTGCAAGCTAAGTGGTTGTACCAATTTCCTTCTCTGGCTCCCCTAAGAGCATCTCAGTTCCTCCCAGAGATGGCCTGTCTTTCCCGTGGCGATGCTCATTTCAAGGCCTAGACGCCCATCTTGGTGGGCACCCCAGGACTGCATGACACCTCCCACTCCTGATTTTCCTTCTGCTCTGCCTGCCCCCCAAGGTGTCCAATGACAGCCAGTCGGTGTCTTTCTCAGCAGAGTCTGCAGCTGCCTGAGTCTCCAGCTACTGTGGACGATGTCATCCTCTGCGCTGTTTCCCTGACTTCCTGGACAAAGCATGCTTTGTCTACACTGCTTCACACTGGAAAATTCTTTGGACAAATAAGGAGCTATTTCTTATCTAGCCTAGCGGATAGTTTTAGGATTTGGATGAAAAAGAGACTGAAGCCATGACTTAGGTGTGTTTCCTGAGGAATCACTGAGATTAATATAGTCCCGTAAATGCTTCACAAATTATAAGGAATGTCGGTTTCCACACTCAGACCAAAGACTGGCATGGGATCTAGCACTGCTTTAGAGACTGTATTCTCAAGACTATGATTTCATGTGTGTGTGTGTATGTTTAATTTTCTTCTCAATAAAGAGGAGAGAAGAAGAAAGGGAGGGAGGGAAGGAGGAATGGATGGAGGAGAGAAAAAAATGAGAGAAAGAAAACAAGAAAGAGAAAGGAACAAAGGCACAGCACCAACAATAACTTCACATTCTGTTTCTCTGCAGCTACAGCAGGCCCGCTATTTTTATTCCCTATAAACGCAGGCCACTGGTTCCAGAAGGTCTTTGTTTTGATGCACTTAGAAAGATGTTGCTTTGTCTTCTTTCCTCAGCACACATTCCTTGACTAGGCTCAGCATTTTTCACCTCAGAACTTTGCTAACTTTAGCATTCTATTAAAAAACCCAAACAAACTGAGCTCATTCTATATGCCATCTGTGGAAATCCCACACCCTATTTACTTTTCTCTATGGAAAAGGTGTAATTCTACCTGGGAGCCAAATGTCTTTGAATTAAATAATTTACTTATACATTTTTATGTTTAAATATTGCATTACTCCTTGAATGTATAGTGAGTACTAGAAACTGAAACATGACATGCTCTTCCAGTATATTTGATAACTTTTTTTTTCAAGTTCAGTTATTTTAACTTAACCTGATCTAATAAATAATTTCTAGGATAGTTGTGATTTGCAGAGATTAGTGTTAGACTGCAGTTTTCCCGATATTAACACATGGAAGAAAGCATGCTCTTTACAATTTAAAAAAAACAATATTTTATTCCTAGGGGTATGAATTTGGATGACTAAGTTCCATCTTATCCAGAGTGTCTTCAGGTTTTTTTTTTTCATTATTTCAAATGTCCATTTCTAACTTTGGATAAGTTTTTCTATGATTTCCTATGTCATAGCAATAGAAAGTAAGTGGTTTAAAAAATCATATTATAGGAGAATTCTGGAAAAAATGTTTGCTCTTCCTTAGGGCAAAATACTGATGACTCCAACTCAACTCTAATTTCATATATCTTCATTTTCATCATAATTTCCTTGCATATTTTTTATGATTCATACATTGTTTTGTGTACTTCTTGCTCAAACATCGCTGGCCTACTCTTTGTCACTGGAAATAAGATCTTTTTTTTTTTAATTTTGCCTGATCTTATAAAATTCCATACAATACAGAGAAAGAAAGGATCCTCACAATCCATAGAAGTAATCATTGTTACTAGTTTTCACATACACACACACACATACACTCACTACATTTGATACAACACATATGTTTAAATGGGTGAGAACATTGACAATCTGGTCTTTAGCATACACTGACCTATCAGGGAAACGTCCATACAAATATTGCCTTTTGTTTTAAAATAAAAATAAATATCGTTTTGTATTTCATTTTATGTAGGGATCTTTTATTATTTACATCTGGATCTTCATAGAAGGGTTAAACTCCTTTGCACAGAAAATGCAAGAATGTTAGTTCATTGGTAAAAGAGATCATATAATTAAATTGAGAATTAATTGTCCTTTCATGCACTGTATGAAGAATTAATCTAGTTTTCTTTACCTAAGACATCTCACAAAAGACATGAAGCCAGCGGTCATGAAGAGAAGTGCAATTAGTTTGCCCTTAAATGCTAATTTAGAAAAAGGTAAAGATAATAAATTTGGAACTAACTCAACTGAGTGGACATATTTTACCTGAAACATAATGAAAATCAATAAGGGATAAAAGGAAACCCATCTATCCCCTTTATCTTCTCACTGAATCTTCCCTCTTTACAACTCCAAGGAGGGGACCCTATTTTCCCTTTTGTTCATTTCCATTCAATGGGAAACAACCAAACGTGCTACCATATGCATTACAGTAGCCTTGAATTCAATGAGGCAATTGCCCCTCTTCCATCTCAGTAGCATAAATAGTAGAAACTATTAAGCCAAAATCAGCATATAAATAGTAATAGCAATCATTTTTGAGTACCTACGGGGCAGGCAATGTAGTAAATATTCTGACAGAATTCTCTTAGTGAGTTACTTTATTTAGTAAGACTTTGACATTGATATCATTACCATTATACAGATGAAGAAGCTTGAGACATCACAGTTAAAGAATAATAGTGAAAGTGAAGTGAAAGTCTCTCAGTCGTGTCCAACTCTTTGCAACCCCATGGAATTTTCCAGGCCAGAATACTGGAGTGGGTAGTCTTTTCCTTCTCCAGAGGATCTTCCCAACCCAGGGATCAAACCGGGGTCTCCTGCATTGCAGGCGGATTCTTTACCAACTGAGAGCTATCAGGGAAGCCCAAAGAACAATAGAACAAGGACAAAAGCCAAGTTGTATATGATTACAAGCTTTTGAGGTCTACCATCTCCAAGGTCATTTTGGATAAAATCTGAACACTGGATTTATTCTTGAGTGTGTAGATCTCCTAATAAATATGAAATGGTCAGATTTTTCTTGCTGTTGTTTTTTAGCCACTGAGTCGTATCTTGACTCTTTTGTGACCCCATGGACTGTACCCCCTGCAGGCTCATCTGTCCATGGCAGTTTCCAGGCAAGAACACTGGGGTGGGTTGCCATTTTCTTCTCCAGTGGATCTTCCCAATGCAGGGATCGCACCCATGTCTCCTGCATTGCAGTTGGATTCTTTACTGCTAAGTCATCAGGGAAGCCCAGATTTTTCTTACCACTTTCCATTTTGATCCCAGGAATTTACTTGAAGTGATGCCCCCCTCTATCAAGCAGCAATTTTAAGGTCTTCTGTCTACAACAGACCCATATCTTTCAACTAAAAGGAAGAGACACCCGCAGTTTTAAATAGATGTTCTCAGAGAAAATCATACAGGATCAGCATTTCAGCTCATATGCCTATATCCAATAAATATAATGTTCAGCACAGTACATCAAATTTATTCCATTTTTTCATGTAATAAATATTTATTGGGCACTTATTTCCTGCTTCAACCTTTATCCCTTCAAGATCCATTTTCTTTGCACTTGCCAGATGGATCTTTTAAAAAGCAGATCAGATTATTCCTGGCCCTTGTTCCTGAGGGCTTCTCCTTGCATTGAGTATGGAACCCTAACTCCAGCAAAGCTTGTGATGGCTGGCTGTGAATGATCTTTGGAGTTATCTTATTTCACTCTTCTCCTCCAAGTCGCTAAGCTCCAGTTTCACTTTCCTCTCTTTTTTTCAGACACACCAAGCACATTCCTGCTAAAATGCCTCTTCCTCTCGCTGCCTACAGGCTGGAATTCTCTTCATCAGCACTAAAGAAGGCAGACTCCTCTCTAGGCTGCCCCCAACTCAAATACCAGCCCACTCTTTCTCTGGCCAGCGTCTAAATTCACCAACTCAATTTCCAGCTTCATATCCTCCAGACATTACAGTATTTGATGGCACTGTTTTATTTTGTTCATAGCACCAATGATAATCTAAAATATTCTCTTTTTACAATAATCATATATAATGAGTAAATTCTTAGAAAAATATGTTTATCACATTTGACTCAAAAAAGAAGTAGACACCTCAGTAATGACATAGCCATTAAAGAAGCTGAATCAGCAGCTTAAAATCTCATAGACAGAACCTCAGGCCCTGTATAGTTCACAGGCAAATTAAACCAAACTCCCAGGTGGCGCAGCGGTAAAGAATCCGCCTGCCAATGTAGGTGACACAGGAGACAAGGGTTCAATCCTCAGGGAGCAAAGATCCCCTGGACTAGGAAATGGCAGCCTACTCCAATATTCCTGCCTGGGAAATCCCTTGGACAGAGAACCCTGGGGGGCTACGGTCCACGGGGTCACAAAGAGTTGGACACAATTGAGTGACTAAGCACACACAAATAAGTTTTATCAAACTTTCTTTTAAAAAATTACTTTTGTTAGGTAGGCTGTTTTTAACTTCTTATATTGGAGTATAGTTGATTAACAATGTTGTGTTAGTTTAGAAAATGAAAATAAAATAATCCTGATTGTTTATCTTTTAAAAATGTTTATTACTTTTCCGAATTGCCTGGGATCAGGGCATATGCCTGTCCTGTTGAGCCTGTATTCTCAGGGCCTAAGAATCTGGCATGCAACATGAATACATATAAGGCTGTTGCATCAGTGCATTACTGACAATGACAAGTAATAAATCCATCTGAATGTGAGCAGGGCAAAATAATTCCTAGGTTTTGGCAACTGAGATGTCTTCACTTTATCTAATGGACATTTTTGCATTTTCTCATTTTTAAAAAATTGCTTGTGCAAAAAGGGTTGGCTTTATCCCATGATGTTATATGCAGAGCTTCCTCACTATATCCAACGTAAGTAAGATCATCTCTCTGATCTTTATCAACTTAAAATGATTTGTCATTTGAACCTTTGTATTATACTGAGGGTTTTTCTACATCAT